TGGACAAACCTGGGGAACACAGGGCTGGAGGTCCCCAAATTCCTGGGGCTGCACGAGGAGCCTTTCCCATTCTCACAGCAGTTCTGCAGAGCTGGAAAGGGGAACAGGAGCTGGAAGTCCCAGCCCTGTGCAGGGGGATGGAGGGCTGGGGGTGGTGCTGATGGGATTCTGCTCTCCCACAGAGGCTGTCCCAGGAGAAGCACACCTCGGACTCGGACAGTGCAGCCATGGGTGACACCGGGTCCCCAGCCACCCGCAGGGAGCACGGAGAGCACGGTACAGTCCCTGTCCCCACTGCCCACCCTGCCAGGGCTCCCAGCTGGGCAGCATCCTCTGCAGCCAGGTGGGATGCCAGAGCACCTGGGTCACACAGCTACCCTGTCCTTTCAGGGAAAGGCAAAAAGAGCGGCCTGGCTGACCTCAAGGGCTCGATGAGCCGGGCAGCAGGGAAGAAAATCACCAGGATCATAAGCTTCTCCAAGAAGAAGCCGTGCCCCGAGGACACCCAGACCTCCTCCACCGAGGAGGACATCCCCTGCTGCGGTTCGTGCGGGCTGGGAGTGGAGTGGGATCAGTGGGGAGGGACATTCTTCCCCCAGCGTGGCTGCAGGGGTCAGGGGTGGGGACGAGCTCACTGAGGGGGTGTGACACTGCCACAATGCTGCCCAGGCCTGGCTCTGCAAATTCCAGTGATGAGTGGGCAAGGAGTCACCCATGTCCCCAAAAACAGGCTTGGGGGGACTTTGTGGTACCAAGCTGGCATCTCCCCTGGGCCCAGCTGGTTGTCTGGGGGGAAACTGAGGCACAGAAGGGCTGGATGAGCAGGAAGCCATGCTGTAAGCTCTCTCCTGTGAAAACCTGCCTGAGGCACAGCCAGGCAGGCGCTGATGCCCTTCCCTCCCCTGGCACCCCCAGGCTACCTCAGCGTGCTGGTGAACCAGTGCTGGAAGGAGCGCTGGTGTCGCCTCAAGGGCAACACGCTGTACTTCCACAAGGACCGCACAGACCTGCGCACGCACGTGAACGCCATCGTCCTGCGCGGCTGCGAGGTGCTCCCGGGGCTGGGCCCCAAGCACCCCTTCGCCTTCCGCATCCTGCGCCACGGGCACGAGGTGACGGCGCTGGAGGTGAGCAGGGTGGGATGGGGGACTGAGTTTGGGGTTGCCAGGCTGGAGGAGCAGCCCTTGGGGTGATCAACGCCCCATGCAAGCAGTGCCTTGTTTTGCCCTCCCCTGGAAAGCTCAGGGCACCTTTTGGGTGAGATGGGGCAGCTGCGCGGGAAGTTGGTGCACAGAGGGGGATTGTGCACAGCAGGGCTTTGTCAGGAGGCAGCAAGGATGAGGGGCTGGGAGCTGGGTGTGATCCCAACTCTTCCTCTCTCCTCCAGGCAAGCTGCTCTGAAGACCTGGGCCGCTGGCTGGGTCTCCTGTTGGTGGAAACAGGCTCCCAGACAGCCCCAGAGGCCTTGCACTACGACTACGTGGATGTGGAGACCATTGCCAACATCGTGACGGCCGTGAGACACTCCTACCTGTAAGGCTGTGCTCCTGCTGTGCCAGGGGCTGGGTGCTGGGTGGGCATGGTGATCCTTGGCCCTGTGGAGTCCCTGGAACAGGCACAGTCTGGGCTGTGGTTTGTGGCTGGGATCTCAGGGACAGTCAGTGCCCCAGGGGTTGTTCCCTAGGGCAGGATGGGAAGCTGAAAGGGTTTCATCAGTGCTGACAGAGCCTGTGGTAGGGTGGGGTCATGAGATGCAGGAATCGCTCTGAGCTGGAGGGGCTCCCTGAGGGGCTGGCAAGGATGTTCTGGAAAGGAAGACCCCACTCCTCCTTCTGCAGGTGGGCCAGCTCCTCCCAGGACCAGCGAGCGGACTCCTCTCGGGTGGTGTACGATGATGTCCCCTATGAGAAGGTCCAGGTGAGCACAACTTGATGGCTCATCCTCTCCCACCACAGTGTCCCAGGGAGCCGTGGCCGGGCTGGGATGGCCCTGCAGGTGTCTCAGCTGGGAGATGGTCCTGCAGGTGTCTCAGCTCACTCTCTCTCCTCCCAGCAGGCGGAGGAGGAGCCGGGCCGGCCGGGGGCTGCTCAGGTGAAGCGCCACGCCTCGTCCTGCAGCGAGAAGTCGCGGCGGGTGGACCCGCAAGTCAAAGTGAAGAGACACGCGTCCAGTGAGTCCCCGGGCCACAAAGCTCGCCAGGGCTCCTGGCCAGTTCCCCACAGGGATGGGGTAGGCTCAGCTGGACCGCGGGTACCATCGGTGCAGCCCTTCATGGGCTCTCCCCGTGCCTGCAGGTGCCAACCAGTATAGGTACGGCAAGAACCGGGCCGAGGAGGACGCCAGGCGATTCCTGACGGAGAAGGAGAAGCTGGAGAAGGAGAAGGCATCGATCCGCAGCGAGCTGATGTTGCTGCGGAAGGAGAAGCGGGAGCTGCGGGAAGCCATGAAGGGCAGCACGGGTAGGTCGGGGCCATCCGAGCGCTGCCAGGCACTCGGGCACAGAGCACGGCGACACCGGGCTGGCCGCGGGGACAGTGTGGCCGGGAGCTGGGCTGGCTGCAGCGCTCTGCCGGGCTGGCAGCCCCATCTAGTGTCCCCGTGCAGGAGGATGGGTGGATTCTGCTGAGCTGGGTGCTTGTGCGAGCAGGGCCGCGGCTGCAGGAGCTGGAGCAGCGGGTGGCGGTGCTGGAGGAGCGCTGCCGGCAGAAGGAGGAGTCTCGGGTCGATCTGGAGCTCAAGCTGACCGAAGTGAAGGAGCAGCTGAAGCAGTCGCTGGCAGGAGGGCCGGCCCTGGGGCTGGCCGTGACCAGCAAGGCTGAGAATGGGGTATGCATCCCTTCTTCCTCACTCAGAGCTCCGACTTCGGCAAGAAACAGTGGTTGGGGTATTGTGGGGAGCAGGACAGGGGAGAGGGGACATCCCTGTGGCTTTGTTCCTTTGAGGACAGAGGTGTGTGAGTTGAATTTGGTCACCTCAACTTTTATCTCATTACAGTTCATGCCTTTTTTTTTTTTTTTTTAATCTGTTTGTCAATGCTTCCTGGGTTTGCTGAGCTTTTCTTGCTCCCCCTTTTCCACAGGAAACTACAAACAAGCCAAACGGGAGCCCCCCTGAGCACTTGGTCCCTGTGAACTGTGCGGCAGAGCTGAGGAAGAGAAGCCCCTCCATCATCCCTGCCAACACGGGGAGCGTGCTGCGGAAAGCCAAGGTCCTGCTCAGCTCTCCCTCTCCTCTCTGGCCCCGCAGGAAATCTCAGTCTTTGCCCCTTGTTTAGTCATAAAATCATGGAAGTGCAGGGCTGGGTGGGTGATGGAAATGCTTGGAAGATGCTGGGTCCAAAGCCCCCAGCTGGGAGGGATGCCTTAAAGTGTTCCTTTTTCAGTGATGTCTTCTCATCCCTTTTTTTTTTTTTTCTTCCTTTCTCTGCAGGAATGGGAAAAGAAGCAGACTTAAGCCAGCCTGCCAAGCCCTGAACACACACACTGGGGATCACGGAGGAGCTGCCAGCCCCCTTTCTCTGAGACACTGGGAGGGTGCTGGGAAGGCGTGGTGGAAGAGCTGTTCTGCCAGCCCCACCACTGCTGCACCACCACTAAAAACCAGGGGAAGGGGCCGGGAGGGGACTGGGGAGGCGGGTGGGGAAAGGGAGTTCCTTGTGGATCAGGGTCACAAACTACTGGGAAACCCAGCTCTGGGGGAGCCTGCCTCAGAGCCAGGAGTCTGACACAAACTCTGGGTGCAGAAAGAAGGAGGGAGAGCCTGGGGCTGGCAGTTGGCACTGCCCAGCAGGTGCTCCAGTTTTGGGGATCAGCGTGTGTCCAGGCTAACATCTACCAAAGCAACCATGGACTCATTGGGGTTTTGGCCCCCTCAGTTTTGGGATTCAGGAGCTGCTCAGGACCAGCCACTTCGGAGATGCCAGTTGTTCACCCTGCTCACTGCTCCCAGCTCTGCAGGGTCTCACCTCAGGGTTCCTCATGGCTCGAGCCTGCTGTGCCTCAACCAAGTGCCTTTGTCCAATATTTCCTTCTTGTCCTCCAGGCAGTAAGGGTGAGGGCATGCTGCCTTCCCTTGGAATGAAAGAAGCTCAAGTGTCAGCACTGGAAAGCAAATTAACAGTGGGCACCTTTTAGCTTTGCTAAACAGCTGCAAAGGGCTGGGGATGGAGGCAGGCCAGCTTCCTGCCCTGGTCCCATGCTGGTTTTTGGGGGGAGCAGGGGAGGGGACAGGGCTGTCTCCTGGCCAACAGCACATTCACACTCGGGCTGCTGCACTCAGACACAGGTTGGTAAGGCATGTGATCAAAATGGAGTAAAGGGAAGTCTAAAAATTAAAAAACCAAAACAGCAGGGCTATTGGAGCAGAAAAGTGAAATAGAGTAAGGTCATTCAGCACGGGCAGAAACAAGGGTCAGGAATGGAAAGGTTCCAGCTTTTATGCTGGGAACAAGGGAGTTGCCATCACCCTCTCATGCTATGGACTGCCACAATTAACCTCTGGAGCTCGCTCTTCCACAGCCTGTGTTAGTACCTAGGTAAGCAGCTTTTAATAAAAACACTGGCACTGGCCTGCCCGGTCCTGTGGCTGAGGGATCAGGGTGGGAATGCCACTCCTGCTCCCAGGGAAAGGGGCTGGGCTGGGCTCGGCACACCTGTGGCAGTAGCTGTTGGGACGAGCAGCTCCCTGGAGGCACATCAGAGAATCCCAGACTGGTTTGGGTTGGAAGGGACCTTAAAGCTCATCTCGTTCCAAGGGCCAGGGATACCTTCCACCATCCCAGGTTCCTCTAGGTTCCATCCACCTGGCCTTGGACACTTCAGGGATGGGACAGCCGCAGCCTCTTGTGGGCACCCTGTGCCATGGCCTCAGCATCCTCACAGGGAAGAATTCCTTCCCAATATCCCATCTAACTCTCTGCTTGGCAGTTTGAAGCCATTCCCCCTCATCCTTCACGCAGTTGTTGGCAACTTTGGCCAAGGCTTTGGGCTTTGGTTAATGTTTATTCACCGCGGGTAAGGAACAATCACAGTCTCTTCCAGTCCTTTCCTGAACTAGAGGTGAAACCTGTCCTATTACCACCTTTAACCCGCCCAGCCAGCGGTGGGAGCTGTGTGGCTCGGGGTGAGCAGAGCTGTGTCCGGGTCTGAGCCCTGTGGGGACAGAGCCGTGTGCCCATGGCCGAGCCCAGGGACGGGAGCTGTGTACCCGGTGTCCAGGGCCGAACTCGGCCGGGAGCAGGAGATTGGGCCGGGGCCGGGTCCGAGTCCCGGGGGATGGAGCGGTGACCGGGGCTGAGCTCCGGGGAACCGGTTCTGCGTGCCCAGGTCTGATCCCTGGCACACCGGAGCTCTGTCCGGGTCCCAGTCCCGGAGCCCGCTGCCAGATCCGAGTCTCGGGGGACAGCAGCCGTGTCCGGAGCCAAATCCCGGGTCCCGGCCCCTTGTGCCCGGAGCCGAGTCCTGGGTTCCCAGAGCCAAATCCCGGGTCCCGGCCTCTTGTGCCCGGAGCCGAGTGCCGGGGTACCAGAGCCAAATCCCGGGTCCCGGCCCCTTGTGCCCGGAGCCGAGTGCCGGGGTACCAGAGCCGAGTGTGCGGCGGCAGGCGGAGCACCCTCCGCCCGCCCTCCACTGCCCATCCCCGCCTTGCCCTCACGCCCCCGGCCCCTCACGCCGGCCCGCCCGCCGCTCGCAGGGCCGTGTGGGAGCTGTAGTTCCGCGGTGACGCGGCCGCATCGCCGCCGCCTGCTCCGCCGCTCCGTGCGGGGCCATGGCCGCCCGCTCCCTGCGCCGCCTCGGGGCCCTGCTGCCCGCGGCCGGCAAGGCCGGCACAGGCAGGTACGTGGGGCGGGCCGGGCCGGGCCGGGCCGGGCTGGGGGGACAGGGGTGGCCCGGACCCGCGGGGTGTCGGGGACAGACGTGGCAGCGCCGTGGAGCCGGGCCCGGGCGGGCGCCGCGCCGGGGGCGGGAACGGGAGCGCATCCACACCCGGACCCGGACCCCAACCACGACCCTGGCCCGGATCTAGACCCCGACCCGGACCCCAACCACGACCCTGGCCCGGATCTGGACCCCGACCCGGACCCACATCCAGACCCCGCCGGTCTCCATCGTCCCCCGCCGCTCCCCATCTCAGCCCCGAAACCCCGCGCTGCCGTTCTGCGCTCCGCAAAACGCTCTGGAGCAGAAATAACCCCCCATAACCGAGCTGCTTTCCCAGAAAAGTGATTTTTTTTTTTTTTAAATTACTGTTCGTTTTTAAGGCAAAGCGTTTCCGCGCTCGGTAAGTCACGTTGGGAGGTGGTTTCCTGCCACTGTGGGTGGGTTCTGTGTCTCGCCCGGCTGAACCATTTATTCATTAATTTATTCATTAATTATTCACGTTCAGTGTGCTCCTCCGGTTTTGTTTCTGGTGGTGAGGCGGCACATGTGCTATCAGTGTGTTTTGGGTGGTCGCGGGAAGAGAATCCATTTAATTGTGTCAATATTTAGACAATGTGCACTCACGCTTTTATTTTTTTTACATAGTGGAATATGCTTAGAAAAGAGAAATCCATAAAGGTGCTTTGGTTATTGAGTGAAGTGTGGGCAGGTGAAAAGAAAAAAAGCCAAAATGCCTGTTTTGGTTTGTTTTTTCTTTTTTTTTTTTTTTTTTTTTTTCTAGAAGAGAAGCACCACTAAAAGACTATTAAAATATAATAAATCTGCAGCACATAATAAAGGCAGCTGTGTTTGGGACTAAACGTAGATGCATGTCAGGAAATTCTCTCCCTTATGTGGGTGAAAACTGCTTCGCCCCACTGAAAAATGTGCGATGAATCTTTCACCATCGGCGTGTCCCTCCTCTGGACACTCGGAGAGCTTTAGGTGTTTCTCACATCCTGGCACCCAGACCTGCCCCAGTTCTGGAGGTGAGGCCACCCCCGAGCGGGACAGTCCCCTGCCTGCGCTGCGTTCTCTCTGCAGTCACTCCCTGCTGAAACAGCGCGAAGGAATGGCCAGTAATTAGATTTCCTTCCAAAGCAGGCTCAGCAGAGCTGAAACCAGTGCAGATGTTCTCCAGCACTCGAGAGCTTTGTCATGCTGATTTGGGAGGAGGAGGGAGTGTTCCAGGAGTGCTCTCTCTCCTTGCGTTGGAGAGAGCTGATTGTCACTCCGGAATGCTCGGGTGCTCCAGAAAGAGGTGACGATACCATAGCTCTGACCAGAAACCCTCTCTCATCCCTGAAATATTAATCTTGAAGGGCAATTGGCTTAAGCCATATGGCTGCAGTCAACTTCTCTGCTCTTTCTATCTCTTTGGCTTTCTGTGACATCGCTTTGTAAATCTTTCTGTAACACCAACTTGTGTAACCCCCTGCACACACGTGTCTGTCGCTTCAGGATGTGTCAGCTTCCTCCCGTGGGATCCATGCCTATTTTTAGGATAGCTGTGATCAAACCAGCCTCTAGAAGATGGAGCCCAGTCAGTGGACAGCCTGTAAATAGCTCTTGCCACTTGTTGGGGAGAATTCCTTTCATCCTGCAGCAAGGAGTAAATTGAGCGGCATTTTCAACCCCGCGTAACAGACCTGAAGAATTCCCTTTGGAGTCAGGCTGGGATTTCTTGGCCATAACTTTTCCTGGCAGCATGTGGCTGTCGGGGCATGTCCCTGCACGGGGGAGCGCTCTGGGATTTGGGATTTGGGTTCAGAGGCTGCAGAGAGGAGTCCATGCAGGCAGCTCCCTGCTCCACGTAGGCAGCTGAGACCGGCTCCTCCATGCCCCTCTCCCACGCAGAACACACCCATCCCTGCCAGTAACCACCGACAGAGAGAAAAACCTCTCCAGCTTTGGCATCTTGGGGGCAGAGGAGTTAACTGAGCTGCACAGCCTATTTTTAAAACACAGGAGTTTCATCTCTGAGGGGCCCAGCGCGATTTCTCAGCTGCGTTTCAGGTTCTTTGGTTCGTCTGTAGCATGGTTGATTTCCGTCCCTGCAGCTCTTTGAAATGAAATGTGAGATGATAAAGGATAAAGCTTGTAGCTGGTGCTTCCCATGGACGTTTTTATGAGCAAAGAAAGCCTCAGATTGATTTTTAAAGGCTTGGTGAAGAGGTTCTGCTCTGTCCTGCCCTCCAGTTTAATCTACTTTCTCTAACTTTGATAAAGCGATGTTAATCAGTCAATAAAATGAGCGTGACAGGAATCTTAAAAATTATTCAGGATGGGGTCTTGTGCCCCAAACAGCAGCCAAGGATGAAATGTGGGGTTTTTTTTCCTGTATTGGTATTCCTGGAAACGAGACAGTTCTTTAAAGATTAGTCTGAGGAAAATCCTCCTTTAGAGCAAGTGTAAGTAGAGAAGGCACTTTGAGGTTTGTATTTGGCACATAATTTGTTGAAAAGGAGTGGTTTGACATACAGATGATGTTTTAAGCACCCACTTAATAAAAACTGTACATGCAAATGTCCTCGGGTGGGGAGAGGAAGTTTGTCATTAGTGCCGTGGGACATTTAGCACCCTGCCATTAAGGATTTAAATGAGGAAACATCTGGGCTGTTAAACACGGGTGGGAGGAGATGCCTGGTGGTCTTTGGGCAGATGCAGATCTCTCGAGGTGGGCTTTGAGGGTTGAGCCAGTCTAAACCCTCAGGGACACCTCCTCCCTGCCCCACATCTCACATATTTGGCTTCTCTTTGGTACTGGCACTTGCACTGATCTGATCTGTCAGCAGACCTGTTCAGGGACGCTGAGAGGAAAGTCCTCTTGTTTTACAGGGTTATTTTTCAGCTGGTTTAACTCCTTGAGATTGAATTCTGCTCAGCTCCGGTACTGGAATAAAAGGGGCAAAACAGCTGAACAGCAGTGAGGCTTCATGATAGACCCCAGAACAAATTCTGTGCACTTGTGTGACATTGAACCTGAGCAATGCAGCCTTGCTAAAGAGGAAGAATGCTTCATGGTGCAGGCCTGGTAATGTGAACTCAGCTGAATCGATTCTGGGGTCTAAATTAGCATCTTTGTGCAGAGTGGAATTGTTCTGTAAAAGCACAGGGAGGGGAGTTGGTGCCAGCACGGGGATTTCTGGGCTGTGTTGCCTTTCACGGGGTAGATGTGCACTTAATGTATGGAAAATATTACACAGAGGGGATATAAAACATTGCATGATGGGGGTGTTGAAAGCTTTGCTCAGAGGAAGAGCCCAGGTACTCCCAAAAAAGGAGAATACACCCTTCCTTGTTAGGTGTGTACTGAAATGTTTCCTGGATGGAGCTGGTTTGGAAGTAAATTCTCTTTTGTTCTGCAGATTCTTCCTGGTGTGAGGTGTGAGAGAGAGGTGGAGCTGAGGCTCACGCTGGCAGGAATGAGCCCTGTCCAGGTTGTTTGTAAAAGCAAGTACAGTAGGAGGGAGAATGAAACACAGTCAGGAGATCACAGAATTATTTATGTTGGAAGAGACAGGGAGGTGCTGGAAGTGTCCAAGGAATGACTGGATGTGGCACTCAGGGCTCTGGGCTGGTGACAAGGTGGGGATTGGGTACAGGTTGACTTGATGGTCTTGAAGGTGTTTTCCAACTCATTTATTCTGTGTTTCTGTGAAAATTTGACTCTTTCCAAGGTATGCCAAAGAAGTGGAGTAAAGCCTCTGAGTGCCATGCTAGTCTAAAATAAAAGAATTTTAAAACACCTCTTTGTGCTTCTTTGCTGATTGTGTTTTCTGAAAAGAACTAAAATTGTGTGTAGAATCCTGTGTACCTCTTTTAAGAGAGCCTGCTTTTAATACTGACACTAATCTTGAATTCTCATTGACCCTGAAGATACTCAACTTTGTTTCTTTGTCCCTAGTTTGTATTTCAGAGGGTGCCCCTGTGCTTTCAGCACTGCAGCTCAGCAGAGAAGTACAGGAGACGAGTGTGGCCCAGAGGACCCCAGTGAGGAGCCCAAGCACCCCCTCTCTGACTGTGCCTTGGAGCACAAAGCCATCAAATTGGAAGAGCAAGTCCGGGATTTAACTGTGAGTGTGCTGGATGCCTTTGCTTCAGTCCCCTTGGCTTGGTCTGGTTTTCAGCCCTGGATTTTTCCCTCAGTGCTGTGACACACACACACAGAGCTCCAGAGCAGCTGTGCCCTGAGTGTGAGAGGGTGAAATTCCACCCTGCCTTCCCCAAAACACCATCTGTCAGCAGTGCCAGCAGCAGGGCACTGATGGTGTGCTCCTGGCAGGAAGAGCTGTGTGTTGGAGCTGGACACTTCTTTCACAGCCTTGTGGCAGTAGCTTCGTGCTGATTAGTGTCATATGTTTCTCCCCTCAGCCTCCTCCAGCTGCACAATCCCAGTGCCCTCAGCTGCTCCTCCATGGCCTCTCCAGACCCTCCCCATCCTCATGCCCCTCCTTTGGACACTCCTTAACAGCTTTATGTCACACTGGATCCAGATTATCCAAGAAGGGAAGCCCTTCTAAGTGCCCGTGTGTGATGGAAATCAGGTTCTATATTGAAGAACACACGTGACTGAGGGAGGATTAAATACCACAGCACTGGGCTGTTGTGGAGATAATCACCCTGAGAATTCTGCTCTGAGTGAGAAATCAGCTGTCACAGAGAGGAGGATCTCAGCAGCAGCCTGGCAGTGGCTGTTCAGCTGAATTCAGCCATTCAGTGCCCAGAATATTTTTGGTCTTCCTTGGGTCTTGTGAAAGATTTCCAGTTTTTGGTTAATCAGTAGGACTTGTCTTTGTATGAAAATGCAAAGCCCAGCACAAGCTTCTCTTTTTAAAGCATTTCTGAGGGGTTTGCAGTGTCAGGAGAGGTTTTTCCTGCAGGTTTGATGTGTCCCCTCTGTGGTTACAGGAGCGATACCGGAGAGCTTTGGCAGATTCCGAGAACGTCCGGAGGAGAACGCAGAAGTTTGTGGAAGATGCCAAACTCTTTGGTAAGCTGAAGGGCTGTGTTTACTGCACTGGCCTGCCTGCCCAAGCAGAAAATGCTGATCAGCAGCTTTTCTGTCCCCCTGTCCTGCCCTCCCTCGTTTATTTCAAAGCCTGCTGTGATGTTTGGCCTGGACTCTTGATATTTGGGCTTAATCACTGTTTTTTTTCTCTTCTGTCCAGCTGTGTCCTGTCCTATCAGGTTTACCCACAGAATCACAGAATTGCGACTTTTTTTTTTTTAATAGTCCCAGTGCAGCTGAGTTTAGTTCTGCTGACTTGGTTAAAAATGCAGGCTCTGCTGTGTGCTGAGGATTGGCTCTGGCAGGGTGTATTTTATACTCAGCTGTGTCATCAGGTTGTGATCTCCTTTACTATATTAACAGCCTCCTCTGCTTCACTTCACTGGAGGTAGATGCAGCCTGGGGCAGCAGTTGTCAATCTCTAGATTAGATGTTTAAAACCTCTAAAAGAAATATTTTTGCATCAATGAAACGAGCTGGATTTGTAGCTTTGGCAGCAGAAGCAGGTGAAGGGGGAAGAAAGTGCTGTTCAGGCATTGCACTGTGCCAGAACCATCTCTGAGAATGAAAAACTGTTTTTCTCCATAATGCATGGATCTCAAGAGGTTTATTGTTAGCTAATTCTAGCAGCCTTGAAATTAGAGCTGCTATATTTTCTTACCTTCCACCCATGGTGCTATAAAATGGCTGCTGAGTTTGGTGATAATCAACAACAGGATGATTGATTTTGAGAGGGTTTTTTGAGCTTTTGGGATTTGATATGTAGCATGAAGAAAAAATAAGTTCTTTATTAGAAATTGCTCACAGAGTGAAACTTGGAGATCTGTGGATAAGAGGAAAATCTGAAAGGAGATCATAGGAAGGTGGGGTTAGTCTCTTTTCCCAATTGATGAGAGGTAAGACAAAAGGAAGCAGCCTCAGGTTGTGCCAGGGGAGGTTTAGATTAGGTTTTAGGAGACATTTCTTCACTGAGAGTGTTGCCAAGCACTGGCTGCCCAGGGAGGAGGTGGGGTCACCATGCCTGGAGGTGTTGGAAAGCCTGTGACACGGTTTAGTGGTGGCCTTGGCAGTGCTGACTTGATGATCCTCAAGGTCTTGAGCAGCCTGAATGACTCTGATTCCATGAAATGAGTGGTAATTGCTGGGCTTCTGTCTGCTGCTTTGCTGCATCTCCTTCCTCTCCCTTTGTTCACATGTACAGCTGCAGACAGCACCTGACTATTGCCTCATTTTCTCTGTTTCCCTAATGTGTCATTCCAGTCAGAGAGTTATGACATTTATGTAACTGAGGGAGGCAGCTTTTCCTGGAATTTCTGCGCTGTGCAAGAAACCACTGCTAGAAATGCAGCCAGTCTAACCCTTTTGTTATTATTTGTGAATGACAAAACCTGCCTGGTTTTTCATGACCAACTGAAGAACCATTTTGGTCCAGTCCCTCCACAATGGTTTTAAGCTATGAATAAATTGGGGATTTTGTACTTCTGAATAGCCATGCATTGTTTTTGCTTCCCACCATTGTGTTTGTTCCCTGTGGAATGGGCATTTGTGTGACAAAATTATGTCAGTGGGACTGGAGCAGGGGGTGTGGAGCAGAGTCCTAAATGACAAATCTGAGTTGCAAAAAACTGTCTGGAGTGAGACATTAATGCTCTGCTTTGTCAGGAATACCAAATATATATATGGTCATGGTATGGATGTGCATTTCCTGCATATACCTTGGTTTGGGGAGTCTTTAGATTACTTTTAATGCTGAAGCTTTTGTTCCAGCAATCAGAAGCCACCTCCTGTCTTGCTAAATTAACTCCAAATCAATGAGCAGCTTTAAAGGTGCCTTCAAACCACTGTGACTTTGTCTGTCCTTGGTCCTGGAGCTCTGGATGTTCTGTAAGCTGTCCTTCATGTCCTTCCTGCAGGCATCCAGAGTTTCTGCAGGGACCTGGTGGAGGTGGCAGACATCCTGGAGAAGACAGCCGAGAGCGCCGCGGGCCACGCGGAGGAGCCCAGCGATCCCAACCCCACCCTGAAGAAGATCTACGAGGGCCTCTCCCTCATCGAGGCCAAGCTTCAGAGCGTCTTTGCCAAGCACGGCCTGCAGAAGATGAACCCCGTGGGTGGCAGGTACGACCCCTACGACCACGAGATCATCTGCCACGTGCCGGCCGAGGGCATGCAGCCGGGCACGGTGGCGCTGGTCACGCAGGACGGCTACAAACTGCACGGCCGCACCATCAGGCACGCGCTGGTCGGCGTGGCCGTGGAGGCACAGGAGTGACGTGGCTTCAGCTGCTCCACCTGGGACCTCGCTGGGCTGGGGACAGTCACAGCTGCGTGTGTTTGCTTATTTATTGAGCTGGGGTTGTGTCGTGGGATGGCTTCGGGGGCGTCGCCGTTCGTTCTGAGGTACTCGTGTGTTTAATGATCCTCCTTGGAGCCTTGCAGTCCTGCTGTTTGTCAGAAGTTTGGGGCACTGTAGCCTCCTTGTCTGCTTATTTCTCCGTGGTTTGTATGGGGAAGAGGGGAGATGTGGAGAGAAAGGGAAATGCTCTTCTTGTCTCCCTGTTCCATCTCTGAGGGAGACTCCTGCAGTGGCCTCCAGGAAAGGAACTTCTCTGCCTCACTTTCCACAGCTGTACTAATGGACTGTAATAATACTGACCTACCTCACAGGGATGTGGTGAGGCTTTTCATGTGCAAAGCACTGGGAAAAGTCCAGAGGGATGAGTATTATTATCACCTGGTTTTGATGTCTTCCCTTGTCCCCACACCCCTCGGATGGGGTGAAGATGATCACTTGAAATAACATTTAGGGGCAGCTTTTTCTTACTTGCTTCAGGAAAACAATTTGGAATTCATGGAATCTCTGTTGTACTAGAGTTGAATAGAGATGAGGGTTTAAAAAGAATTCAGTTGTTAGGTCAGACTAATGGTAATATTCCTTGTCCACATAAAATTCCAGCTTGACTCTTTGTTCCCAAAGGTAAAACAGGGAGCAGTGATTTGTGGTGGAGCCAGAAAACTGTCCTCACATCTCTTAATCTCCAACCCAAATGTATGTTTTAGAGGAGAGTAATTTCTCTTCCCTGGTGGGTATTTGTGCAGCTTTCAAGCATGATAAACTATGTGCTCTTTGTTGCAGCTGCTGGCAAAATGGAGCTGTGCCCTTAAGCAGGAAATCTGGACTGTTCTGTTTTCTCAGGTCTCTGGTAAAGATCCTCAGATTACACCAACTTCCAGTCCACATTCTGATTCTACTTTCAATGATCCTAGTAAATATGAAACCTTTTGGGTTTTGATGCAAGGAGAAAAAATCTTTGCTTCAAAGTCTCAAGTGCCCTTGAACCAATTTTAGCAGCAGTGACAAGAAAGCAAGAGAAGCAGAAGGCTGAGGAAGTGAAAGCTGACCTCGAGCTGTCCTCCTGGTTGGAGGCATGTTGTTGTCACAGCACATATGTATTTCCCACTGGCCTTATTGCCTGGGAGTTCATTTATCTCAGCTGAAAGGATGCAGTCACTGAGGAGGATCAGAATTTAACCCTTTGCAGAGCAGCAAGCAGCCAAATGACAGAAGAACAGTTAAGCCAGAAAACCAGGAATAGTTGGTTTTCAGCTTGTTTCTTACTGATTTGTTCATTCCTTCTTTTTTTACTTTCTGGAATTGGTTCCATAATCTGCCAAATGCACTTCCAAAAGTGCTTTACTTAGAGTGGATGCCATCCCTGGTTTGGAAAAAAATTTATTCTTCTCCCATTCATTTGGAGGCTTCAGCTGAAAAACCCTTTTGTAGTGGACTTCAGGATTGTCACAGCCTTTAATACTGCCAGTCTTTCACCTGGGGAGACTGTGTGCAGTTAGTGGGTTGGCATCCAAGAAATTTAAGGAATCTGCACATTTCTAACCTGCTCCATGCAACCTTTTTTAGTGGCAGCTGTGGTGTGAGTCTGTAATGGATCCTTTTTGGAGTGTGGGTTTCTGCCTCTGTGCAGTAGGTTCTGAGGGAGGTACTGGAGATTTCAGCCCTGAAACAGCACTTCTGGCAGCTGTAGCTCATGGGCAAACCTCTTGTACAGTGTCTTGTATTATTACCTTGTTTTTGGAAGTTTCACAGATAAACAGGACTTCCTATCCATTGTGCTGAGCAGGTCACCAGGGTACGCTGTTTCTCCAGAGAAGAATGGTAAAACATGAAATGTGACACTACAAATCTGGCTGTTCTTCCTCAAAAGTAAGGAGCCCATGTCCTCAGCTGGAAGGAACAGTGGGGGAAAGCTGGAAACCAACTTTGAAAGTGAAACTTTAGTTGTAAGGAGCCAAACAGAAGCACAGGCATTTTACACTACAGACAGTTTTCTGTCACAGAGAGGCTGCAGCTGGGTGTGACCAGGAAGGATGGGATCCAAATCCTCTTTAAACTCACCCATGGAGCCACTGGACTGTAAAAAAAGTGTTACAGCCACTCAGTCCAACTTGGGTTTGCCAACTCTGCCTGTCTCCTCAGCCAGTGTTCACCCACTTCTGCCTTAAGGAAATTCCCTAAAATGCACTCCAGACCTTCTGTCTGTACTGAGAGAGGATTTATCAGCGTGTGTGTCTGGGCTCTGCTCTCACTGAGGCACTGCAGGGTGGCTGCAGCAGGACTCTGAGGGATCCAGCTCCTCTGCAGGCTTTCCCACCCTCACAGAGGCCCTCTTTAATTTGGGGCAAGTTCTTCTCCCAGTGAAACCTGCAAAACTTCTACAGGATCCTGTCAGGTTTTATGATTCCTGTGAAATGGAGGCAATGCTGAGAGACTTTCACAGATGTTACCAAAGAGATAAATCCTGTAGCTGTTGTTTGTCCCAGTTTCTGCTTCCTTTGAAAGGTGAAGTGAAAATGAAATAACCAAACCTGGATTCCATCACAGAATCCAGATTTCCCAGGTAAAATTTGATTCTCTTGCCTTTCAAGCACACTTAATGTTTTTTTTTTTTGTCCTGGATGAGATTGTGGAAGGGTGGGGTGAATTTCTCCTTGGTTTTTGCTGCTTTTTCTGCCCTGTTTCTGTAACTCCTGCAGGGAGGGCCCTGTCCCACGAGCTGCTCCTCTGCAGTCACTTTACCCAGTGACTGTTCAATAAAACACAGGAATACATGAACAGGGCAGGAATAGCAGAGGAGAGGAAGTGTCATGTACCTTTTGGTCATTTCCACACCTGGACAAGTCTCCAGTGGCACTGTCATGAGCATGGCAAGATCTGAACTCTGAGCAGGAGCAGTGCAGAATGAAATGGATGTTGCTTTGTGAACCTGAACTTCCCAGTGCTTCAAGCAGCAGAGCTTCTGTTGGAAGAGCTGTGATCACTCAATAGCTCCTAGCAGTACCTTAATTAAAAAAAAAAAAAGAGTATTTAAGGTTTATATTGTGAATATTGTAGTATTTTTTTATTTTAAAATGCAAGGTGTTTTGGTATTATTTGTAAAGTCAAATGAACAAAGCGTTGCTAATGTCCAAAAATCCAAGGCCATTGAGGTGGGGGCAAAATGTGTATATATTGTAATTTTTGTGTGTTTCTGTGCTCTTTGTTTACCCAAAGGTTCTGGCTGTATGAAAGACAGAGATGTGTGAGAGCAGTGCAAGAAATTGACAACAACATTTGCGTTGCTGTTGGAAAGGTCTGATTTCCTTTAGCTGTCCAGATTCTGTCCATTTGCTAATAAAACAGAAGAATTGCAGTGACTTCTCTTGCCTTTTCCCTGCCCCAAGCTGCTGTTCATTCCAACTCCAGCCAGCTGGGGCTGCACATGGGAAGGTTTCTGGCTTTTCCTGGTCTCATTGTCTGTGAAAGGGCCACAGCAGCATGTGGCTGAACATTTTATTAACAATGCTTGAGGAGGACTCCCAGAAATGCACACACACAGGGTTGGTGTCAGTGATTCCTGCACTGATTACCTGCCCAGGCATTTCCACACCTTCTGCTGTGTCTGCTCCTGGATGACTGTGGAGAAAAATGTTTTCTGCCAGCCTCTGGTGGTGGCTGGATCAGCTCTGCCAACAGCTGAAATCTGGATCTGTGGGTTTATCTTTGCTTGGCTCTGCTGCCTGTGTGTGCTGTGCTGCAGCAACCCAGGGGATTGTGCAGCACTGCAGTTAAGGGTGGGTTAATTTACAGGGTGCCTGCACACCGTGGTACCCGCAGGCAGGCTGTGATTTCAGGGATTTGAGGGAGAAAAGGCGAGGCTTTCTCTGTGAGGGCGTGTTTGTAACAAATTTCATTCTCTGCAAAAATAGCTGAGCCTCCATTCCTGCTTTTGCCGTGCCACTTGGTGCTGTGTGGGTGGGCCTTGTTCTCCCAGAGCTCTGGATGCCCCCGGGCACTTCTCCCTGCAATAAAAAGCATTTGCAAAAGACCCTTTAGAAATAGTCTTTATGGGGGTGAGATCAATATTTCCGTGCTAAAGATCTGCCGGCAAAGCCAGCCTGCTGCAGGGGTGATGGCCCATCGCAGGGGCTTTTCCTCATCCTGCTAAAACGCACCCCAGCCCAGGAAATCCTGCTGCTGCCATTAGGCAATTTCTGGCTCTGCTGGTTTTCTCTGCAGCAACAGTGAGAGTTGGGAGTTCTCAAAGCACCATGTGCAGAAAGGCCTCAGAGCTCGGGGCAGAACATTTTGCTTATGGCATGATAAAATATCCAGAACTCCTGCGAGCAGGGCGGGGACTGGGAGCAGTGCTGACCTGCCTGGGAGCCCTGTGCGCAGCAGATTTGTCACCCACAGCCCTGGGGAAATCAGGCTGGTTAAGTAAGAGCTTGTTAAAACCCGAGATGTGCTGCAAAGATATTTGTGTGCTGTGTTTTGAGCTGCTTGGGATCGTCCTCTCCCCATCCCGGTGGGATCCTGCCCATTGTGAGGGGGACCTGAGCACGGGTAATTTTTGTCTGTGCCCACCCCAAATATTCACCCTTGAGGTTCAGGGTTGTATGTGCTCCCCATGCAGAAACTCTGAAGTGATTCCTGGCTGGGGAAAGGAAGGGGCCTGTGCTTGTGCTGTGTTTCCTGGAGACAAAGTGATGTATTCTCAAACAAAATTCTGTCCCTTGGTAAGGAGCCAGCCCTGGGCTGCAGCAGGCTCTGGGTCTGTAATTACACGTCCAACCTGTTCGAGAGTTTTTGCTCAGCCTTTGCTATCCTTTGTAATCCGAGTAGCAGCGGGCTCCCGTGGGATGCCCTTGGCACAAACCGCTCGCTGTCAGGCACCTTGTTTTGCCCAGGGCAGCAAGTCCGAGCGAAAGCTGGAGACGCCTTTGCTGCTGCATGAGGCAGGCAGGACCCAGCCTGCTCCGCTCCGCGAGCATCACCCTGTGCACATGGACTACGGAAAACTGAGCTGGGCTGCCGGGGCAGCCAGGCTGGGGCCTCGCTGTGGGACGCGTGTGAGGAGCGGAGAGCAGGGAGCTGCTGGCAGGGAACATCGGCAGGATGCCAGCGTCCCCCGTGTCCCCTCAGCGCCACTCTCCGGCTCCGGTGCCGCCGTGCCGGGCTCGGGGCGGGGCGGGGGGCGCGGGGGCCGAGCCCTGCTGGCCGCGCTCCCGGCCGCGCCCGCCGCCCGCGCCGCGCCGCGCTCCATCGGTACGCGGGGATGCCGTAGGGTGGGGTGGGCCTCCGGGAGCCCGCGGGCGGGGGCCGGCAGCACCGGGCCGCCTCCCCTCCCCGCCGGGCCGGCACGGAGCGTTCCGCACCGCACCGCTGCGCTCCGCACCCTGCATCCCCATCCCCGAGCATCGCCGCCCTCGCAGGCGGCGCTGGCGTTTCCCCACCGCGGCCGGGGGAGCGGCGGGACCCCCCGCGCCCCCGGGGCGATGCTGACCCGGCCTCTCGCCGCTCTCGCCCGCAGCCGTGGTGGGCGCCGGGCTGGGGGGCTCGGCCTCCGCGTACTTCCTGCAGCAGCACTTCGGGCCGCAGGTGCAGCTGGACGTGTACGAGGCGGCGGGCGTGGGCGGGCGCCTGGCCACCGTCACCGTCAACAAGCAGCAGTATGAGAGCCGCGGAGCCTCCATCCACGCCCTCAGCCTCCACATGCAGGACTTCGTCAAGATCCTGGGTGAGACCGGGCGGCCCAGTGCTTGCATGGCTTCCCTGGCTGAGCTGGGGGGCTGGGACACCCCCAGGCTCTGTGCTGGGGGTAGTGGGGTGGGTTACTGCCAGTCGTCCTTGGCACCCAAGGAATGTGGTGAGCCCCTTGCTGTCTCTGCTGTTGTGCCCTGGAGAGAGAAAGGGGCATGGTGGTCACCATCAGAGGAATCCTGCTGGAATTAGTGTTGGGCAGTTGTTCACAAACTCCTACCAGTGTGTCCCAGTCAGCAGCAGCTCCATGAGATGCCCCAACATGCTGTGGCTGGGAGCCTGTGCCTTGCGGTCTCTCACTCCTGATGCTCCTCCAAGAGCATCTTCGCCCCTATCCCTGCCTGGACATGTCCAGTGCTGGCCTTTCCCAGGAGCCAGCCGGCCCCAGGGAGGGGCAGCCACGCGGTCCCTGTGCTCCTGCAGGCCTCAAGCACCGGCGCGAGGTGGCCGGGAAAAGCGCCATCTTCAGCGGGGAGCACTTCGTCCTGGAGGAGACCGACTGGTACCTGCTCAACCTCTTCCGCCTCTGGTGGCACTATGGCATCAGCTTCCTGCGCCTGCAGATGTGGGTGGAGGAGGTGATGGAGAAGTTCATGAGGTAGGAGAGCCCGTGGGGCTGGGGGGGTTTCCCTGGCACCAGGGCATCACCAGGTGCCCCCTGCTCCTGTCCCCTCCAGGATCTACAAGTACCAGGCACACGGCTACGCCTTCTCCAGCCTGGAGGAGCTGCTGCGCTCGCTGGGGGGCGAGGCCTTCGTGAACATGACCCGGCGCTCGGTGGCCGAGTCCCTGCTGGAGGTCGGTGTCACCCAGCGCTTCGTGGACGACGTCATCGCCGCCGTCCTGCGCTCCAGCTACGGCCAGTCCGTGCTGGTGCCCGCCTTCGCAGGTGAAGCCACCTCCTCTTGCTGTGTGACACTCCTCAGTGTCCCCTCTGTGGCCGGGCTGTGGAGCCACCCTTGTCTTCCTCTCTGCAGGGGCCATGTCGCTGGCGGGAGCCCAGGGCAGCACCTGGGCGGTGGAAGGAGGGAATAAGCTGGTGTGTTCAGGTCTGCTGAAGCTGACCAAAGCTAATGTCATCTCTGCCAGGGTGACAGGCATCTCCCTGCACAGCTCGGGTGAGCCTGGGCGTGGGTGTGGCTCTGGGTGCACCAGGGTGGGAGGCTGGTGGTGGCAGCATGGGAATGCTGTGGCTGGAGGGCATCCTGGTCCTGGTGAGGCATTTGGGAGAGGCCCTGAGGGTCTGTCCTCCCTTTGTCTGATCCAGTGGGGGTCTGTCCTTCTCCCTTTGTCTGATCCAGTGGGGACCCTGCAGCACCAACCTCAGGCCTGAGGTTGCCCTCCCTCCCTCCTGAGGTCCATCAGGTTCTCCTGTGGCACCATCCTTGTTGCAGGCTCGCTCCCCCTTCCACCACAGCAGAAAAATATCTGGGATGTGGGCTGTGTTCCCCCAGTCCTCTTTGCCCCCACTAGGCTGGGCCTCTCTGGAAACATTTTATGTCTTAATGAAGCCTTTCTGCCATCCTAAGGCATCAGAAACTCTTCTGTAACCATCAGGTGCTGTGGTCCAGCACTGGTGTGTGCTGCAAAACCAGGGGATGGTTGGAAAAAAGAGGGTCAGGGCAGCACCACCTGGGGCTCAGGGCTGCTCCTGACTGTCCCCTGTCTCTCTTCAGAGGGGAGAGCCCTGTACCAGGTCCACTACGAGAGCACCGAAGGCCAGGGCTCGGCTTTCTACGACCTGGTGGTGCTGACGACTCCGCTGCATCCCAGCAGGACCAACTTCACCTTCGACAACTTCCACCCCCCCGTCGCCGACTTCCCCGGAGCCTTCCAGCCCTCCGTCACCTCCGTGGTGCACGGCTACCTCAACTCCTCCTACTTCGGCTTCCCCGACCCCAAGCTGTTCCCTTTCACCAGCATCCTCACCACCGACACCCCCGACCTCTTCTTCCACGCCATGGACAACATCTGCCCCGTCAACATCTCGGCGGCGTTCCGGCGCAAGCAGCCGCAGGAGGCGGCGGTGTGGCGCGTGCTGTCCCAGCAGCCGCTGGACAAGCCCCAGCTGAAGACCCTCTTCAGGTCCTACTACTCGGTGCAGGTGGCGGAGTGGCAGACGTACCCGCGCTACGACGCCGCCAAGGCGCTGCCGCCCATCGTGCTCCACGAGAACCTCTTCTACCTCAGCGGCGTGGAGTGGGTGGCCAGCTCCATGGAGATGACAGCGGTGGCCGCCAAAAACGTGGCGCTGCTGGCTTACAACCGCTGGCATCAGGAGCTGGAGAAGATCGACCAGAAGGACTTGATGCACAAGGTGAAGACGGAGCTGTGACGCCCGCGAGGGGTGGTGGGCCAGGAGCTTTGGTGTGTGGTAGTTTGGGGAGTATTTATTGCCTTGGGGAGGCCGGGGGGGGCTGGGGGACAAGGGACAGGCTGTGTCCCGGTGACTTGAAAGCCTTCAGGAATACAGTTCCTGCCCAGTGTTGCTGTGTCTGTGCCGTGTGCCTCAGTTTCTCTGTTCCCTCACCCCAGGCTCTGCTGGAAAGGAGCCTGTGCCTTCTCCTGAAAAAGGGTCACAGTGTTTGGGAGGGATCTTGGGAGGCTTTCAGGGGTGAGGCTGGCTGGCATTGGCAGCAGGTGGGTCCCCCCGAGCTTCCCAGCTCTCTCCTGCCTTCCTGGCTTTGCCCTTGGGAACCTCACAGGTAGGGCTGCAGATCCCACAGCCTCTCCCATGCCTGGAGCCCTGCCCTGCTCCTGTGCCCCAGGGATGCAGGGAGGGCTCTCACAGCTCCTGCCAGGTGCTCTGTGCTTGGGGGTGTCCAGGCTTGTGTCCGGGGGAGCAGAAGGGCCTCAGTGGGAGAAGCTGGGCAGGACAGAGGGGCCAAGGCAGGGGCAGCTCAGACCAGGGCCAGCAATGCACTTTATTGAGACCTCAGAAGCTGCTCAAACCGACAGCAGCTCGCCCTGCTCCTTGGACTGCCCAGCCTGGCACAGAGGAACCTGTGGGACAGCTGGGAAGGACTGGGAGGGACTGGGGAGGACTGGGAAGGACAGGAGGGCTGGGAAGGACAGGAGGGCTGGGTGCTGCCAGGAGCTGTTGCAGCGATGGAGCAAACAAAGGGAAATGGGGACTTTGGGAAGGGAGGAGGCCTGATCCTGACCCTGACCCTGATCCTGCCCAGCCATAGGACCATGGGCAGCTGGCTCCTTCTCTCCCCCAGCCCACAGCTGAGCTCCTCCCTGGAGGCTGGGGGCGGTCGGTGTCTGGGACTGGGTGACTCCCAGCGGCTGCCTCTGCACTGGGTGTCCCCAAAGCAGCTGCTGGGGCTGAGGCTGACAGAGTCTGCAGGGGAATTTTGAGGAGCTCTCGCACAGGGACCTCCCCTCACCCTGATGCCCAGCCAGGTGGCCTCTCCCAAAGGGCAAGCTGGGGAAGCAAGAGCAAGCTGGTTAGGTGCCCAGCACTGGGGGAGCTGCAGGGCGTAGCTTTGCAGCCTCAGAAGATGCAGGTGCAGCCCACGGCGATGGTCTCCATCACCATCTGGTACTTCTTGTGGCACTGCTTGCCCGAGGGCCTGTGGCCCGGGCGCGGGCAGAGCAGGCGGCGCACGGGCAGGCGGCTGTAGATGGGAATGCTGGCCATGCTGCGGTCCTCCTGCATGGTGAAGGGGTTGATGCAGCCAGTGCAGAGGCAGCGCGCCTCGGGGATGTCTGCTGGGATCCGTGTGGCGTCGTGGTTTATCCTGGAGGAGAGGAAACAGGACAGGGCTGGGGAGATGGTGATGGGGGCAGTGGGTGGCCAGGGTGAAGTGGGTTGTGCTTCACAGCCTCCAGCAGCCAGCACAGCCCCTGTGCTGGCACAGAGCCACCTTGCCTGTCCCCGAGGCCCCTGCCCCAAGCTCACCTGTAGGCCCAGGGGGACAGGCTCCTCCGGTTGGACCTCCAGAGCCTCAGGTTCACCTGGCACTTGGTGTCCCCCGGCTCGGAGCCGTTCCTCAGCTGGCGCACCATGTCCTGGATGCTGTGCTCGTACTCTGCCATGCTGGTGTAGGGGTCATCGGGGGCCCAGGCCAGGGCAGGGGGGGCTGTTGGTGCCCGTGCCAGGCCCCTTCTCCTGCCCTTGGCTGCCTTGCTCTGGTCCTTGGCTTCGGGAACCAGGACCATGGCGAAGGTGAAGATGCAGAGGAGCAGCTGAGGAAGAAGGAGGATGGTGAGTGGCTGCTTGGGCTGCAGGACTGGCGTGGAAGGGGAGCTCCCCCTCCTCCCCGGGGTCACCAGGTAATGGCAGGACCACACTGACTTTGAGGTGGCACATTCAAAGCCCAAAGGCAGTGCTGGCCTGCAGGTGAGAAACACCTCAGGGCAGTTTGCAGGGATGGTGGGCACATGGTCATGATCTGATGCGTGTGGCTGCCCCTCACCCTGCTCGCAGCTGGCAATTGGTGTTGTCCAAAGTGCCCCTGCCTGTCCTGCCTGAGCTGTGCCCTGTCCCCTCCCTGCCCACCCTGAGGCAGCTGCATGCTGGGAGTGACCCAGCTCAGGCTGTACCTGGGCAGCCTCTGGTTTAAAAGGAGCCTTACAGAGATGAGACAGTCAAGAATGAGATCTTTATCCAAACCCTCCTCTCCCTCCCTCTGTGCTCTGAGGACGGTGAGAGAGAAAAGATGCTTTTTTTCCTTCCCTTCTCCCTCCGGCCTCGCCGGGCTGTGCAGCCGTGTGCTGCCACCCGGCAGGCTGCCCAGCAGGGAACAAAGTTGCTTTCTGTAGTCCTGCTCGCTGCTATTCGTGTCCCTGCAGTGGCCCAGGCAGCCCCACACCCTGCCCGTGGCTGTGCAGTGCCCCGGGGCAGGGAGGCTCGGCCAGGGCTGTTCTCCGGCCGGTGCCGGGCTGTCCGGCCGGGCTGGCGTGGCTCTGCTCTCCCAGGCTGCTGCATCCTCACCCTGCTGGCCATGGGGGCGATGGCCCTGGCAGGCCACAGCGGGCACCTCCAAGCAAACAACCCCAGGTAAACAAGCATGCAAATAATTCTGTTAGAGAAGGAAAACGAGGAGCAAGCCCTGAGCTGCCGGGGAGGCACCTACCAGGTTTGGAGCCCGCTCCATGGCCGCGGAGGGGTGCCGGCCGCTGTCCTGCACTGTGGCCGGTCCCTGCAAGCCAGGCAGCTAAAAAGGGAAAGCCCCAGCCCCCAGCTGTGCCCTGCCAGAGGTGTGTCCGGTCCCCAGGGTGTCAGGGAGCCTCGGAGCAGCCAGGGCAGGGGGCCAGCGTGGTCTGGGACTCGGCCACCCGTCACCGCCCCAGGTGCTGGCTCTGCTGGTGGTGGCGACTGCGGTCAGTGGCGGGTCCCCTCTGGACCAGGCAGCCCTGAGGGGCTCTCCTGGCAATAACATGCTCTGGGGAGGGCGTTTGGGCTCTCTTGGTGTCACCAGCATGGTCACAGCCCTGACAGGGCCGGAGGGATGCGGCTGCTGGGCTGGCAGAGCAGGGGCTCACAGCAGGAGCAGGGTGGCTGTGTCCCGTGCTGGCAGCAAGGTGAGCAGGTAACGTGGGGCTGAGAGCCCGCTGTCATCTGTGAGCCACCCCCAGCAGCAGCTCTGCCATCCCCAGGAGCCCCCAGACCCTTCTGCTCAGCAGTGAGATGATGGCAGCCATCACTCCCTGCACCCCTGGTCTGTCTGTCCCCAAACCCTTCTTCACCTTCTGCTGTGCTCCAGCTCCTGCCGTGGGGACACAGCAGCTGTGCCCACGGCTGGCCGTGGGTCTGCGGGTCTGGGTGTGCTGGGTGATGCCCTGGCTTTCCGGGGCCAGGCACCGCGGTGCAGGGTGCTGCGGTGGGGGAAACTGAGGCACGGGGGTGCTGACTGTAATTCCCCGTCCAGGGAACAAGGGCTGGCATTGCACCCCTGCTCTGTCGCTGTCCGTGCGGTCAAGAGCCACGCGATGGTGCTGTCCGCCACCCAACCGCTCCCAGTCCTTCCCGTCTGCATCCCTCCTCCTCTCCATCCCTCCGTCCATCCCTCCGCCCCTCCATCCCGCCCTCCATCCCTCCCTGCATCCCTCCGCCCCTCCATCCCTCCCTCCATCCCTCCCTCCATCCCTCCCTGCATCCCTCCCCCCCTCCATCCCTCCCTCCATCCCCCCCTCCATCCCTCCCTGCATCCCTCCGCCCCTCCATCCCGCCCCCCATCCCCCCCTGCATCCCTCCGCCCCTCCATCCCTCCCTCCATCCCTCCCTCCATCCCTCCCTGCATCCCTCCGCCCCTCCATCCCTCCCCGCATCCCTCCGCCCCTCCGCGCATCCCTGTCTCCTCCCCTGCAGCCCCGGATGCCGCTGCTGTTCCCCACGCTCCCGGGCAGCAGGCTCTGCCCTGCTCCTTTGGATGTTTTCCTCCTTCTCCCCCCTCACTGCGCATCCCCAGGGATCTCAAGGCCCTTGAGCTTTGTAGGGCAGAGGGAAATTTCCACCTCCTTTTCCCAGTACATGAACTGTGTCTCTAGAAAACCCCATAAATAAGGTAAAGGTGTCTGCACCCCCAGCTCACGCTGTCCCCCTCCTCCTGGCAGCCCTGGGATGCAGCAGGGACCAGCCTGGCAGCTCCCCCGCCCCAGCCCGCGTTAACCTCCCCAAGGACAGCCCCAGCACAGCGCTTCAGAGGCTCTGCTGTCCCCTCGGCTGAGACCTGAGCACAGAGTGCCCCGTTTGTCACCTCAGGACCTGCCAGAGGAGCTCTGCAACCACCTGCCTGTGCTTCAGGCGTACGGCAGCACCCGGTCTCTGGCCACCAGCATTTTTTGGGGTGCAGAGCCAAGCCATGCCTGCACCCAGCGGCTTCACCCCTGTTCTGGCAGCCCCGGCAGGGCCGGTGGCAGCCCCGGGCGCCTGCGTGTGCCGCGGCCGCTGCGTTGTGTCAGCGCTCGGCAATGCTGTTTACACATGAGAGAGGCGCAGAGGCATCTGTGCCGGCAGCCAATTACCCAGTTTTGATCTTTTTTGGTGAAAAGGAAACCAGGCCTTTTCAGACATGGCCAAATTTGATAAGCTGGGGGAGGCGGGGGCGGGCGCGGGAGGCTTTTCCCCACCGGCCTCGCCCCAGGGAAGGGGCTGGGATGGGGAGGCTAGGACACGGCCAGCTCTGCCTCCAGGCTGGGATGGGAGGGCTGGGGGGCTCCGTGTGCCCATCCTGGCTGCAGTGCCATCCCTGAGGGAGCCGGGTGTGCTGGGGTTGGAGTGCTGGAACCCCCCAGGGCTCTCCTGGGCAGGGGTTACCCGGAGGGGAGAGGAGAGGTGCTCTCAGGTTTGGTACGTGCTCATCTCTGCTGCTGTCACCACTTTGCCACACTGCCATGGGGAATTTGGGTGGAGAGCGAGGCCTGGAGATGGGGAATGGGGATCCAAATGGGGCAGGAGAGGGTGTGAAGATAAGCTCCACCTGCCCTGAGTAAACCCAGGTGTTTATTTGCCAGACAAGCCTCATGGAACCCACCCCAGGCCAAGAGATGCAGGGCATCCGTGTCGTGCCACGCTCCCTGGCAGCAGGGATGTGCTGGGCAGGGATCATGTGGCAGAGCACACCACGGGGACTGCAGGTAAGGGAATGGGGGCAAGTCAGGCCACAGCTCCACGCTGGCAGAAAATAGCTGTGTGCAGTTTCCCACAAGCAGGAATGTCCCTGTAGGGGTGGGAGCTGCTGGGGTGGGGGCTGCAGTCCCCTCCATCTGCACTGGGCAACGGGCAGCAACGCTGCTGGTGCCACTCTGCAGGGCATGGCCACTTCTCTGGGCACCAGGCTGCTCCAGAACGCAGCTCCTCATGGGGTTTGTGCACACCTGAGCTCACACCCAGCCCAGCCAGACAGGCGGGTCTGGCAGGAGGCTCCAGCACGGCCTCATCCCTATCTCTGTGTGAGCAACATTTTCCACTCATCAAAGGAAAGCTCCAGCGAGCTCTCCTGGCCAGAGCCAGCCCTGTGCTGTGGAGGGAGGAGGGTCAGGTCTGGGGGCCTCCCATGTCCCCCCAAAACCCCCCTGGCAGGTAGTGCTGGCCCCGCCAGAGCACGGAGCTCACATCCTTATTTGCACAACGGCTCCAGAGACGCCCGAGCCAAAAAAGCTTATTTTAAGCTTGCTGGAAAAAGAACATTGTTTGGTGGGAATTAAAACTCCCCATTCTCAAAAAAGGGAAAAACAAAAAGTGCTTCATTCTGCCGGCTCCTGCCATTGCATAAACACAGAGGCAGGCACGGCTGGACAGGGAGGCCAGGAATTTGTTGCTGGCATCGAGCAGGATGGGTGCTCTCCCCCCAGCAGCTGTTGTGGGGCAAAGACCCCTCCTCATCAGTGCCCCCACTGTCCCAAAAGCCCTCATCCTGGCAGGAGGGGTGTTCCCGAGGGAGGGAAGGGGCATTTCCCCACCGTGGTGCCCGGGTGCCACGGGCAGGAGGGGTGCTCGTGCTGGCAGCCCGAGGTCTCGCTGGCCCGGGCCCTGCATCGCTGCACAATATTATTTATACAGCCCTAATCCAGCTCCCCCGGCGGCCTTTCTCCCTCCCCGCGCGGGCAGCTGGGCGATGCTCGGGGCTGCCTGTAAATCACGCCCTTTGCATCCCATAAACAGCCAGATTTGGGCGTCGGGAGGCAGAGCTGAGCCGGGCTCTCCTCCGGGGCTGGGGGGACAGCAGCACTCCGGACAGGAGGCTCCGGGGGGAGCGGAGGCGTCGGGCCAGCGGCTGCCGGCAGCGCCGGGCGGGCGGGGAGGGGGAGATGCGCGTCGGGCGCATCCTGCGCGGCCCCTCCGGCACATCCATCACCCCCGCGTTTACTGCACGTCGCCGCTTACACGATCCAGACGCGCAGGTTCCTCCTGTCCCGCTCCTCTCCTGCCTTTTGTTTTCTTTTGCCTCCTGCTGCTGGAGACAGAGCACCTGATGGAAAAAGCCTGTTCTGGCGCTCCCCGCGCTGGAAACAGCCGCTTCCTTCCGTCCCTGCCCGGCACCGCGCCCGCTGCGGGGCTGGGGGCTGCCCCGGTGCCTCCTTGCCCGTGTCTGGTTCCCGATGGTGGCTCTGGGGACGGCAGGAGGGGCCGGTGGGAGTGCCCGGCACGGACAGACCCTGGTCCTGGTGAGCCCCTCCGGGAGCTCTGTGCGGGGCAGCCTCAGGTCCCCATCGGACAGAGGGGGACAGAAGCACGGGCTCCTCCAGGCCGGGACCACTGAGGCAGGACCTGGCCACGGGTCACCTCATCCAGCCTGGCCCCATGTCCTGCTCCCTCCGTGTCCCCTGTGCTTGCCCTCTGGCCTTTTCCAGCCCTTTGGGCTCCTGGCCTCAGCCTGTCCTGGCTGTGCCCCCCTGCCCACCAGCACAGAGCATGGGTGGGCAATGCTGGCTTTCCAAATAATTCAGTTTTCCTTCCCCCTGCAGCCTCAGGCAGTCAGACACCAACCCATGAGTGCTTTGGAGGGGTGGCTTCATTTTGTGCTGGACTGCAAAGGTGAGACAGTCCTGCCAGGACAGGGGATGCCCTCTGCATCCCAGCTCCTGCCTGGGGGAAAGGCTGGTCCTTCAGCCCCATGTGAGACACATGGAGCAGCCTGGAGCCATCCCCACCACCTTCCCTGCAAGGCCAGGGGGCTGGAGGATGCTCCCAGGGACGTGCTGCCAGGGCAGCAGTTCTCTCTGGGTCTAAGAGGAGAAAGCCTCTTACTTGAAGGGCTTTGGTGGCTTTTTCTGGTGGGCAGGAGTCCAAGCTCCCAGTTCCCAGGGCAAGGCAAAGGGCAGAGGTAAGTGCAAAGCTCAGCAGTGGCACTGATGTCTGTCCTGGAGGGCTGTGATCCAGCCAAACTTCTCTCTGTGCCCCTGGGCAAGGGATCCCATGCAGGGCCCCCCAAACTGCTGGGGAATCATCCCCAGGTGGGAACTGGTGGCTTGAAGTCAGAGCAGACAATCTCCTGCCCTGCTCCCCATTCCCTGCTCCTGTGTGCTCCAGGCAGGGGGGGAAGGGATTTACAGGGCAGCACTGGCCAGTCCTGAAGGTCACCTTCAGAGCTGCTCCAGCTCACCCATTCATCACTGTCCTGCCCTGCAAGGGGCTGAGGGAGCAGGGGCTGTAATAATACCCGGGCTGAGAAATGCCCTCCTGCCCTCCAGCAGCCCCCTCTGATGTCAGGCAGCAGATGAAAAGGTTCTAAATTTGGTGTGTTTGGATGTTAACAAGGCTTGTAGGAGAAGGGTTTCTCTTTCCACGTCCCAGGCTCTTGGGAAGGTGGGAGCAGCCCAGAGCTCCCTTTCCATCACTGCCCTGTGGCATCACCCCCTGTGCAGGCAGCGGTCCCCTCCCCACCTGCCTGGGACAGAGCTGGCACTGCCACTTGACCCCTGCCCTTACACCCAGCCAGAGAGGCTGGAGGTCAGCGGGAGGTGGGAAAAAATGTCACTTTTGTGGAGATACTGAAACTGAATCCGTGCTGAGGAAGGATGGCTGGGCAGCATCTTAGTGAAGGAGTAACAAAAACAAACCCGCGCCAAGGAATCCTGCTTTGCCCCAAATGTTTTTCTTATGGAGTTGTAATAAGACAAGAGCTGTAAAGATAGTAACCTCCTAAACATTACCTTATTAAGGCTTCTCAGAAACCGCAGGGCACGACCCCTCTGGGTCATGGAACAAGAGCGCAGCATCCAGCGAACAAACAGAGGCTAACGTTACATTTTTCACTTCATTTAGGGAACCTGGTTTCTAATTATAGGGTTTGTTTAATGGTTGTGCCTCACTCAAAGCCAGCCCTCCGAGAGCAGAGGGACAGGGGAGTGGGAGTGCTGGGAGATCTCGCTGCTGGCTGCCAGGGCATGGGGATTAAACTGGGCACAGAGAGGGGTTTGGGGGTTGGGGACAGAGAGGGGTTTGGGGGTTGGAAGCAGTGAGGAGGGTCTGTGCCCAGGGAGAGCCCCAGCGTGCCCTGGGGACGTGCCACAGGTGCTGTCCCAGCTCAGTGCCGTGCACCAAGGCCGCCTGCAGCAGGGGAAGGGGTGTGGTGTGCTGCTGTGCTCTGTGCAATTCCCATCGCAGTTCAGTCAGCCTGGCCTCATCTCTGCCCTGCTGACCTGCTGGGAGCTGCTCCTGGGCGCTGGCAAAACCAAGGCTTGTGCTGCCAGGGCCGCTGCATCTCTGTGTGTGCAGCAATTCAAAAAAGAAATTGGTTGGTATTTTTTTGGGTTTTTTTTTTTTTTTTTCCCCAAGAAGCCCTTGGGAAGTGCTTCATATTCCAGGTACCTGGCAGGTGGCTCTGGCTCCTTGGAGGCCACCAGGTGCCTCTCCCTGCCAGGTCTGGGCACGCTGCTGGCAGATCCAGGCACTGCTGCTCCCATCCCTGCTCTCCTGGCAGCTTCCTGGTGCCTGGTCCAGCGCAGGCTGGTTCCCTGCTTCTCCCTTCCTGCAGCTGGCAGGGCAGCTCCCTCCGGGATGAGGGATGTTCCTGAAGTGCTGAGGGGATGTTCAGCTCCTGCAGCACTGGCTCTGGTGCTGAGGTGGTGCCTAAGTCCAGGGAGAGCCTCAGGGATGCCAAGCACTCCACACCATCCCTGTGCAAAGCCTGGCATGATGGCACAGAGGCCTTGGCCCTGGCTTTGGGGCTGTCCCAACCGGCTCAGGGGTCTGAGGATGGTAGGAGCCCTCTCTGGGATGTGTTTCTGGTGGAAGTCCTGCTCTGCCAGACTCCTACTCCACATTTGTCCCCATCCAGGTTGTAGCAACCACAGTGCCTGTGCATGGCTCAGCATCAGCCTCCTTCCCACAGCCAGGATGTTCTGATGGACACGAGAGCTCAGAGCCCAGAACCCAGCTCTGTGTTCCCCTCGGGGAACGTCACCACCTTGGGAAACCAGAGTTGAAGCTGGCGGTGCCTCCCTGGCTCTCCCTCAGTAATTTCATGCAGCAGAGGTTGTTCCTGCTGCTCCAGAGCTGAGCTCTGTGCTGGATTCACTGCCTGTGTCACCCAGCAGAGCAGCAGTGCCCAGAGCAGGGACAAACCCCATCCTTGCCCTGCCGGGGGCTGATGGAGCAGGGGATGAAGGCGCTCAATGCCGGCTGCTCCCCGCCCCAGCTGCCAACTGCTGCTCATTGTGGGGCCCTGGTGCTGGCTGGAGGCCATACATGGACTCACTCAGGTCCACATGGAGCCAGGAGGGGCCAGGTCCGGTGATGGAGATCCCACACCCCTGGAACTGGGAAAGGCCCCCGTGCAGCAGCCCTGCAGCCCCAGCCTCGCCACCCCCACCCCACGGGTGTCCCAGCCCTGGGGACATGCAGGGACCTCACCCTGCACTCCCAGCAGAGCCCCAGGGCTGCCGTAAGGCCTTTTTTCCCAGGCCAGATGGAGCTTTTCAAAGCCATGGCAGTCAAGGGACCGCTCCAGCCGGGCCGGGGAGCATCTCCGCTTCCTCCGCTGGCCTCCGTGCTGCCCCGGCTCCCCACGGCCACCCAGCCCCGCTGCTCCCCCTCCCCACGGCCGTGGGATGCGTGTCCCCCGTACACCACGCCGGGAGGAAGTGAGTTATGAGTTATTCCAAACAACTTTCTCCGGCCGGGATGGCCCCGGTTCCCAGGCGCAGCCCTGGCCGCTCTCCTCCCCCTCGCTTCCCCCAGCCCTCCTTCCCTCCGCTCCCCCTCTCCGCCTTAATGACTTCCACATGGGCCTCTGGCAGCCCGAGCCAAGCCTCCCAGCATTGTCTGAAATCTCCAAATTTAGAAGAAATATGAAAATTGTCAAGCGGCCCTTCCTTAGGGGGTAAAAGCAACACTGGGCCTGGCGGCGGCGCGGGGCCCACGTGAGGCCCCCCAGCCAATGGATCCCCACGGCGGCCCTGACAGCGCTGCCCGCCGCGGCCTGGCCTCCCCCGCCAGCTCATATAAGGTAAAAAGAAAAAGGTTTTTCCAGCTTCTGAGGAGCCTGCGAGGAGTTTTGCACCCAGGGCTCCCATGCCGGCCGCTTCAAAAAGGCCCGGCTGGCGAGGCCGGGGTGCCAGTGGCGGGGTGTAATGTGCCACGAGGAGGTGGCAGCACGTGGCCGTGTCCCCGCGGTGCCCGGGGCAGCTGTGGGCTCGCAGGTAGGTGGCTGTGGATGGAGGGAGCGGGAGGGGGCACGGGTGGGTGTGTGGGCAGAGGGGATGGGGAGGTTGGTGTGGGCTGCCTGGCGCTGTGGGAGCTGTCTGAAAACACGACTCCTCAGCATCCCCTCGTGCAGCCCAGCCTGGCACGCTCAGCAGCAGCTCTGGGGAGCTGGGCTGCACCCCGCGAGGTGCGTGGAGCACAGCCACCGGCAGGGAAATCCGCTGGGCATTGAGCTGGCAAAGAGTGGCCGAAGCCTCCTCAGAGTCAGGAGATCCTGGGCAAAGGGGTTCCCCAAAATCTGTCCCTCTAGCTCCGTCCTGGTGCTGGGCTTGGTGCGGTTCACCTAGATTTTCAGATGTGGGGATGGACTCTCCAGGACTGGAGGAGGAATTGCTGCCTGCTCTGTGGATGTCTGGGATGGAAAATCCAGGAAGCCGGAGGTGAGCCCGGGCAGGTGGGCTCCTCACAGAGCAGGGACATGGAACCCTGCTTGGCTCCTGTGCTGCTGCCGCTTTTGGGAAAACGAGCTGGGGAGGGAATGGAGCCGGGGCTCAGAGCCCAAGGCTCGCAGGGTGTTGGAGCCGCCGTTCCCAGCACACTCACACCGACTGGGAGCATCCTGCTGCTGCCCTGGACTTTTGGGAGCACCCTGCTGCTGCCCATGGGTTTGGGAGCATCCTGCTACTGCCCTGGGCTTTTGGGAGCATCCTGCTGCCCATGGCTTTTGGGACCATCCTGATGCCCAAGGTTTTTGTGAGCATCCTGCTGCCCATGGCTTTGGGATCATCCTGCTGCCCACGGTTTTGGGACCATCCTGCTGCCCTGGGCTTTTGGGAGCATCCTGCTGCCCAAGGCTTTTGTGAGCATCCTGCTGCCCATGGCTTTTGGGAGCATCCTGCTGCTGCCCTGGGCTTTTGGGAGCACCCTGCTGCCCAAGGCTTTTGGGACCCCGGGGCCGTCCAGCCTGTGCCCTGCCTCTTTCTATTCCCCTCTGGGAATGGCCCCAA